GTCTGGGTGACAGAGTGAGACTCCAACTCAAAAAAAAAAAAAAAGACAAGCTGAAGGGAGCACATGGGTGCCTTAAGAGGAAGGGCACCCCAACAAGTTGTTAACTGAGTGTTTTGTATATTATCTTTTTATTTATTTATTTGTTTTTTAATTGGAATCTTACTCTGTTGCCCAGGCTGGAGTTCAGTGGCATGCTCATGGCCACCACAGCCTCAAACTACTGGGCTCAAGTGATCCTTTCATCTCAACCTTCCAAGTACCTGGAACCACAGACATGTGCCACCATGCCTGGCTAATTTTTATTTATTTATCGTAGAGATGAGGTCTCGCCATGTTGCTCAGGCTGGTCTCGAACCCCTGAGCTCAGGCAGTCATCTCGCCTCAGCCTCCCAAATTGCTGGGATTACAGGCTTGAGCCACTGTGTCTGGTGTGTATATTTTCTTAGAGATGATTAAGCAACCCACTTCTTAAATTAAGATTTGTGTGCTATGTTGTAGATTACAACCTGTTGATCACAAGTTTGTTTGGTTTTGAGTCGGAGTCTCACTCTGTCACCCAGGTTGGAGTGCAATGGCAGGCTCATGGCCACCACAATCTCGACCTGCTAGGCTCAGGTGATCCTTCCACCTCAGCCTTCCAAGTAGCCGAAACTACTGGTGCACACCATTATACCCAGCTAATTTTTTGATTTATGATAGAGATGATGTCTTGCCAAGTTGCCCAGGCTGGTCTCAAACCCCTGGGCTCAGGCAATCCTCTCGCCTCCACCTCCCAAAGTGCTGGGATTACAGGTGTTAGCCACAGCGCCCGGCCAAGTTTCTATTCTTTTTTTTTTTTTTTCCAGTTGAAGTCTCACTCCATTGCTCAGGCTAGAGTGCAGTGGCACACTCACAGCCGCACCAGTGTCAACCTACTGGGCTCTGGTAATCCTTCTGCCTCAACCTTCCAAGTAGCCAGAACTACAGGCCCGCACTACCACGCCCGGCTAATTTTTTTATTTATTATAGAGATGAGGTCTCGCCAAGTTTCCCATGCTGGTCCAAGTTTCTATTCTTGTCTACTTCTGAGCTTATTTACATCCTGTGAAAATCTTGAGATACTGGTAAAAATTATTGTTTTACTACTTCAATTCAGTTTCTTCCTGAAAACACCCTCCCCCAGTACCTCGGATACCTGGTTCAGTGCAGACTTTGTTCTAGAGAGTTATGTCCTGATAAGGCAGTGCCCAGCTGGATGCCCGATCACTGGTATTTTTAATCACCTAAGCTATTCCTGCCTGCAAGAATCTCATCTATCTCTATCCTACCTACCCTGCCTCAACTGCACTCCAGCCTGAAGGACAGAGTAAGACTCCAACTCAAAAAGAAAGAGAAAAGAAAACACATATGCCCAAGTACTAAAACAAAACAAAATATTATCATCACACTGGTACAGTGACTCACACCTATAATTCCCACACTTTGGGAGGTTGAGGTGAGATTATTACCTGAGTCTGCAGGTTTAAAAATAGCCTGGGCAACTCAGTGAAACTTCATCCCTTAAACTGAAAAAAAAAAAAAAGCCCAAGAGCTTACACTGATGAGTGTAATGAGTGCAATGGCAGGCTCATGGCCCCACAACCTTGACCTGCTAGGCGCAGGTGATCTTCCCCCCTCAACCCTCCTAGTAGCTGGAAGTACAGGTACACACCATTGTACCACATTAATTTCTCCATTTATGGTAGAGATGAGGTTTTTTGTGCTTTTTCTCATAGGTCTACACATCTGCTTTTGCTACCCAAGATGCTTAGCCCTGCACATGCAAGACATCAAAAAATTTGGCTACTGGCTCACAACTATTTCACTCCATGGAAATCTTTAGTTAAAGGCAAAAGACTTATTTGTTCTGAAGAGAAATCAGAGCATGCTCAGTGAGACTGAGAGTGAAAGTAAGAGTGTGAGTGTGTGTGTGTGTGTGTGTGTCTGTATGTATGTGAGAGAGAGAGAAAGAGTGTGAATGTGAGTGTGTGTGTCTGTCTGCCTCCCCAGATACTGGCTGGTTCCCTCACACTTGAGGTGCCTTTGGACTTGCTCAGGAAAGGTTTTCTTCCACTATAGAGAACTGTCCTAAACATGTTCTTACTAACTAAAGTCTCTTGACAAAGAAATAAAAGTTAATTGTCATTATTCAAACAGATAATCCTAGTACTAGTTCTATAGTGCATTCTGGGATGCAAATGAGCTAAGCAGGGGACCATGAACTTTCCCTAAATCCTGTCTCCTGGAAATAAACTGAGAGAGGTGAGCTCTGGCCTCCTGAGCTGGGGGAGCACGTGTCCAAGTCCTGTCTTCCCTGGAGCAAGCATACGTGTTCAGAGTAGCATTTCCCCTGCCGTACCGTGGCCTTGCCATCTCCCCCCATCTCCTCCTCTCCTCCAGCTCTGCCTCTTTATGGTCCCTTTCTCTTTACAAAAATATCCTGTCCTCTCCCATCTTCCCAGATACTCCCACAGCCCCCTACTGACAACTTTCTAGCACGAGCACTTGCCACCATTTGTCACTTGCAGCTCGTGCAAGCTTAAGGAGCTGGTTGAATGAAGGAATTCACCCTTGGATCCTTACCATCTAGAGCAGCCCCGCACAGTAAATGTTCAAAGGCAGGTGTGCAAGAGACTAAGTGAATGCTGGACTGAAAGAATCACTGGAAAGTGGCCACAGAAGAGGTCTGCGGGAAATACCCTCAATCAGTTCCAGTCCCCACTCGCTTCCTAACCAAATCTGTGCCTCCTTTTGTTTCCACCACTTCTGAGCTGTGTACCTTAGGCAAAGCACTTTACCCCTCTAGGCCTCATTTCTGCACATGTAAAACAGGGGTTATCATGTGGTTAAAGAGCGCTTCGCCCATACTGCGTGGAAAGCCCTGCGCACAGCACCTCCGCCAAGGACTGCTACCGAGTAGTCAGGAAAGGGGGTGTCTCTAAACTGCTCCTGACTTGCCTCCCCCATTCTCATCTCTTGCCAACCCTCCCCCCACTACTTGCTGTGTCTTCCTCTCACCCCTTGCCTTTCTCCATCCTGACTCCATTTAAAGACCCAGCCCTAGGTGAGACCTCATCTCTACAATAAATCAAAAACTAGCGGGACGTGGTAGCGCGTGCCTGTAGTTCCAGCTACTTGGAAGGCTGAGGCGGAAGGATCGCCGGAGCCTAGCGGGTCGAGGCTGCGGTGGCCGGGAGCAGCCACTGCACTCCAGTCTGGGTGACAGAGTGAGACTCCAACTCAAAAAAAAAAAAAAAAAAAAGACCCAGCCCTAGCTGAGCACTGTGGCTCACGCCTGTAATCCCAGTACTTTGGGAAGCAGAGGTGAGAGGATTGATTGAGCTCAGGGGTTTGAGACTAGCCTGGGCAACTTGGTGAAACCTCATTTCTACAATAAATTGTTTTTAAAAAATTAGCCGAGTGTGGTGGTGAGGACCTGTAGCCCCACTACTTGGAAGACTGAGGCAGAAGGCTCACCTGAGCCCAGCAGGTTGAGGCTGCGGTGGCCGTGAGCATTCCACTGCACTCCAGCCTGGGTGACAGAGTGAGACTCAGACTAAGAAACAAAGCAAAACAAAAAGATGCAGCCCTTTCCTCCTTCATGAAACCTGGATTCCTCCAAGCGAAGGCGGCTGGCCTCTCAGCCTCCAGCTCTGTCACCCGTAGGCCGCCTTGATGGGCGAGCTCACCATCCAACCTCTCCTCCTTCCCCTGTAGCCCCCTTCTCCTCAATAACCCAGACGCCCCGCCCCCAGCCCCCTGCCTTGCACAGAGCTGGGCAGTAAAAGGTGCTAGGAGAGTCGGCCTGAGGACAGGGTGCGGGGAAGCTCTGGGATCACGAGGGTCTTCGCGCCAGAGTGGGGCTGTGGCCTCAGGCCTCTGCCCTTCCCCAGCCATCGAACTCATCAAGGACCTGGTCAACTACGACGTGCGCGTGTCGCTGCTCAAGGGCCTCGTGGCGCTACTGATACCGTCCGTCAAGGAGACCTCCAGACTGCAGGCCAAGATCCTCAACGGTGGGGAACCGCTCCGACGGGGCCACCTGGGCTGGGGGTGGGGGGTGCTCCTGCCTCATGGCCGCTCCCCTCGCAGACTCCTCTGTCCTCCCGCTCACCGCCCCCCTGCCCGTGTTCTTGCAGCAGGCCGCGGCCGCCAAGGCCATCGGGTAAGCGGGCAC